ATCGAAGGTTAATTTATGGAAAAAAGGGGCCTCGTTCCTTACTTAGGGTTCCTTGGGTCAACGCCCCTGGTGCCGCCGATCGACCCCCGCGCGACGAGGAGCCACCGACATCCGCCGGTGTCCCTCCAGCCTGGGAGGCGAGACGGGGTGCCGAGGAGCGCCTCCTCGCTCGCCGCTCCCGGCGGGGCGGCTGTGCCGGCAGGCCGATGTTTGGCCAGTAAGGTCATGATGCTCCGACCCACTTTAGCCAGGAGGGAAAGAAACACACAGACACAACGAATCGTCGATTCCCAGGAAAATGTGGGGAAGTATGGGAAGTGGGGGGGAAGACAGAAACCCAGAAGATATAGGAAAATATGGGGAATTGTTTTATTTGTGTGTAGTTATTGGTGTGTCCTGGGGCCCCTTCATTTAGCCTTGATCACCAGGAAGAATTCCGAGCGCCCAAAAAAAGTACCGAAGCTCCAGGGTTTTCACACGTCGGGCCCTGGGAGACGCTCGCCCGACACTGTTTGGGCACTGCTTCGACGCTCTTTGGGCACTTTGCCGGGTGCTCGAAATTGTTTCTGGGATGCGGCCCTTAAGTACGATGGGGGCAACAGACCTACCTCGCTTTTGACCACCCTCGCTTCCAAGAGATACCAAGCGATGCCAAACTACGGCCTGTACTGGTCAGGCCGCTTGACGAGGAGGCACGTGGTACGACTTAGTCTTGCCTGGAAGCGAAAGCGGGGTAGGTAATTCACGCTCTGATTAAGTACGATGGGAGCAACAGGAGAGTAAGGGCCCGTTCCAGGGGTTGGCGCGGGAGCGACGACTGAGGAGTAGCAGCTCGTGCTCAGGCCGCGCGCGCGCGCCGTGCGACTGCGTCAGTCTTGAACCGCTTCGAAGGAGCCGAAGAGGCTGAAAGCAGCGGCCTTGCCGGTTGCCTCCAGCGACGGAAGTGGGCCCCGCAGGCCACCTCCAGCCTCGACTCCAGCGACGGAAGCGCGCCGTGCGACGGTGTCAGTTAGAACCGCTTCGAAGAAGCCGAAGAGGCTGAAAGCAACGACCTGCTGGTTGATTCCAGCGACGGAAGTGGGCCCCGCAGGCCACTCCAGTCTCGACGGCCTCCAAGACCTTGGCCCTCCGCCTCCAACAGCCCGCGGATGCCAGAGAGCGAGCGAGAGACCATGCGCCTCGCGCTCACGAGGCTCCTCGCTTCAGGCACTCTGGGGCTCAGCAGCGGCGACAAGCAACGACGAGCTGGGCGCCAGAGCAGAAGGGTCACGGTCAACAGCGCTCACGGGAGGCCTCGTGGCCAAAGCCGAGGAGCGCAGATGTTTGTCTTGGAACGGACCGCGCCGTCAGGACGAAGGGCCGCGCGGTTACGGCAGGCGTCCGCGGTGAGCACGACGTGCATCCCCCCACCATCAAGATCTCGGTCCCGCACACCTCCACCTGCCCACCTGACAGGCTCGGCTCCACCTCGGGGCTCGAGCCTCCGATCACGGCCAGAGTAGGTCAGCCACCGATACGAGGCTGCGTTGAGTTTGAAGTGCCGACGTCGTCCGCGAGAGCCTGGCCTGGTTCCAAGCTCAGCCATAGTCACAATCTGGCACTCGCCGAGACACTTCCGATGACCTGGGCACGCACCACTCCACTGATGCTTCCGAGCCCGGCCTGGCCGGCCGAGCCACGCCAGTTGCCAAGACCTCATCATCCACCTCTTCCGTCCTCCACTTCCCCCATACTCAGGAGGGAAAAAACACACAGACACAATTAATCGTCAATTCCCCAGACAGTATTGGAAAATATGGACAGTGGGAGGAAGACGAAATTCAAAAAGATACGGAAAAAGGTTGGGAGCCTTGGGATGTGTGTGCGTGTGTGTCTTTGTTTGCGTGTCCAAGGGCCCCTCCTCCATGCCTCCATTTCTCGCTGCAGCGCTCCCTCGGACCTCAGCGTAGGAAGAGTCCCCCCCGCTCACCCAGTGCATCGGGCAAGAAGGGCGGCCAGGATCGGGCCGGGCACAGCGGGAAACCGCCAGCGGCACGTCGTGAAAGTATTGAAGGAAGGTGCAGACACACGGGCAAAACAAGCAGGGTCCTCGTTCTCCTCCTTCCCTCTATTCTAGTCCTCCTCCTCCTCCTCCTCCTCCTCGCCCTCCTGTCCCTCCTCCTCCTCCTCCTCCTCCTCCTCCTCCTCCTCCTCCTCCTGTTCCTCCTCCTCCTCCTCCTCCACCTCCTCCTCCTTCTGTGCCTCCTCCTCCTTCTCCTCTTCTCTTAAAGAGGAAATTGAGACGACGGGGAGACTAACGCTACTGGTCGATCCTCCCGCGGCCAGCCCGCGCACCTCGGGAGATGGAGAGCGGCGGTGGTCTCCACAGACTGGCCTGCTGGACACCCTGCAGGACAACTTCAGCACGAGGCCACATGGGCCTGCAGGGCCTACCACCGCTCCAATTAATGTGTGCAGCAACAGGCCGAGGAAGACGGAGAACTAAGTGCTCACTCCAGGGAGTGACATTGGAGCGGCGGTATACCGAATCACTGACCCAGGTGATTGCCTAGATACATACGCGGGCCTGCACCTGTAAGATGTCGAATGCGGTTTCGTCCGCGCGAGCTTCGGCCAGCTTCAATAGAGTGGTCTCGAGGTCACCCCCTGTCACCTCTGACATTATGCAATCGAGGACGTACCCGATGGACGGAATGGATGTACAGGTGAACCTCGAGACCGTAATGAAGAAGTTGTCGATCGATTTGACGAGGTCGGCGATGGAGATTGCGGTCTTGTCCTTTGCCTTATTCTCACGGCTTGCAATTGGCAGCGCAGCGTCGCAGCCGCCAAAAGTCGCGCCTCCTCTCAACTCCGACGCAATGAATGCGCTCCAACAGGGGAGAAAGTTCGGATATGCAAGGACGGGTACTGATGAGAAAGAGGATCTCGTCGTGGATTTGCAACCCCTTCTATTTGTCCAGGCTAGCCTGGGAAACATCGCTAACAGCCCGATCTCGTTCAGAGTCGGAGAGAAGACCGTCTCTATCCACCTCAGTGCGTCCATCGTCGTGTGGGTAACTTGCAGCAGCATACCGAACATATCTATCGCACTGACCACGTCTATCCTCAAGATCATCTCTGAAAACTTGTCGAAAACTTGTCGATCACGAGGCCCCGAGGGATTCAAGACCTGCTGCTCCAGCTCTTGCTCCTTACCCAGGTCGTCTGCTAGATTCTCACTCTTGTCCCCGCCCTCCATGCATCCCTCACGATCAATAACAGAATACCCTCTCTAGCAGCATTAGGACATTCTCCCTCGGCGCGGGGACCCCCTCCATCAACGAGACGACCACCCCCATCAACACCAGGACCTCTTCGTCCTCACGAAAACCCGACCGTCAACATGACGATCGCCTCCATCATACCGAGCGCGTCCAGCGACAAGGCGAACATGCCTATTTGCCCAAGCACGTCCAGCGTCAAGAAAATAATCTTCATCAGCATGATCGAGCGGCCTCGAGGGATCAGGGAATTACTGCTCCTGATCCTGCTCCTCGCCCAGGTCGTCCGATAGAGCCGGAGCAAGTGCAGCACGAAGAAAATCATCTCGATCGGCATGCGGCATGGCCTGCCCCTCGCAGGGGTCCATCTCATGGGCCGGGCGCGGGGGCTCCGCAACACGTAGACAAACATTGTGTCGCTCGAAAGTCGAAAGCCTGAGCAGCGGTGTAACGCTTGCCAGCCTTCCTGTGCCGCAGTACGTTAACAAACACACTGTCGCTCCTACGGGCCAGCCCGCCTGAGCAAGGGCGGGTGGCGGCGTCGAACGCAACGTTCAGAGCGATGGACAGCTTGGCCACATCCCTCGCCTGCACGCGTCATCCGACGCGCGCTGCATGACCCGATCTCCGACACGCACTGCGGAGGGGCATCGGCCACAGCCCGGAAGCACACCGTCTCGTAGAAGTCATCCCCGCTGGCCGTTCGGGCCTCCGGCCCATCGTGTGACGAGGCGCCCGAACAGCGCGCCAGGCTCAGGCGCCCGCGGGCATCCCCGCGCGCTCGGCGCTGGGCGCCGCGCCGAGACCGCGCCAGGCCCACCCCTGCCCCCTGTGGGCGCGGATGCTTGTGCCAGGGCCTCGGCACTTCCCTCTCCCCACCCCCAGAAGGTCGCCAGCGGGCTCGAAGCCAGATCCCTCGAGCTCGAAGTCCAAGACCGCGGGCTCGGAGGGCCTCGGCACTTCCCTCTCGCCACGCCCCGGAAGGTCGCCAGGGTGAGCCCTCCGGCTCGAAGCCGGATCCCTCGAGCTCGAAGTCCAAGGCCGCGGGCTCGGGCCTCGACCCCCCGCAGCACCCTCGGTCCGCTCCCCTCGCTGCCAGGTCACCCGCAGGGGCCCGGAGACAATCGAGCGTGATGTTCTGGGCCCGGGGGCTGTTCTCCAGGGCGGGGGGTGCGAGAGCGCAGAGAAGACCGAGCTCCGCGCGGCGCGAGGCGCGGAGGTAGGTGGCCTAGATGTTGAGCTTGGCGGCCGAGAGGGAGAAGCAGGAGCAAAGAGGACGTGTACGACAGAGGATGAGGACTCTGAGTGGAGCATCGGAGAGACTCCTTGCGGAACCTTTACATGTTGGTTCCTGGCTTGGCGGATGTACATACAGACTTCTTGTGGAGGAAGTGTCAGGATGAGTGGGGTGAGGGCCAGGGGAGGAGAATTGACCAGGTCCCAGAGGTTTGGGGAGGAGTGCGAAATCTTCTTCGGGCCACTTGGTTTCGGTCTGCCGCTCCGCAGCATTCTCGATGCATGGGCCGCTCCCGGCGCCGAGAGGCGCTGGCAGAGACCGCGACGTGCGGCTGGCTCGCGAACCCCGAAAGGTCCTGCCCCGTTTCGCCCGGCCCAACAGGTCCTGCCCCACCGTGCTCTCCCCCCGTCGTCGCCGCCGCCATCGCCGTGGTCGCCGCCGTCGTGACCGCTGCCGCCACCCTCGCCGCACGCCGCGCCGCCGTCGCCGGCCCCTGGGAGGTTCGAGCACGTGTCCTCGTTCGCGCCGGCGGAGAGGTCGGGCTGGGCCTGAGCCCGAGCCGGCGCCTCCGCCGAGGGAGCGGCCCGGCGCCCGCGCGCACGCCGCCCGCGCCGCGCGCAGAGCCCCTCTGCCAGCGTGAGCGCCTCCTCCTCCTCCTCCTCCTCCTCCTCCTCCTCCGCCCTCCGCCTCCTCCTCTCCTCCTCCTCCTCCTCCTCCTCCTCCTCCTCCTCCTCCTCCTCCTCCTCCTCCTCCTCCTCCCCCTCCTCCTCGTCCCCCTCCTCCTCCTCCCCCTCCGCCGCTCGCGCTGCCAGCGTGAGCGGCGACACTCGGGCGCTGCCAGAGGTACAGGGGCAGCGTCAGGGCGTCGGGGGGGGGGTAGGCTTAAGTCGGGCCTGTCCCCCTACAGGGGGATGTTCGATGAAAAATAAAAGATACCCAAAAAGATTGCCAAACAATAGTTTAAAAATAGTCTGGGGACTATTTGTGGAGTATTTTTTGGCCTTCTTGGGGTATTTTGGACGTATTTCTTATTTTTCGTCGAAAATCCCCCTGTAGGGGGACACGCCCGACATTAAGGTAGGCCCAGGGGCCAACGCGTCGACTTCCGATCTCGCCCACGGATCGCCGGCAGGGGTCCGATAGCCCACCCCGCCCGGGAAGGTGCGGTTCCGCCATCGGAGGCCCAGCGCCGATCCATCGGCGATGTATGTCTGATCCCCCCCCTCCGCCAGTCCCCTGGGAATGGGACGAGTTGGGAGGAGGAGGAGGAGGAGGAGGACGACGACGAGGAGGAAGAAAAGTGGGAGGAGGAGAAGGAGGAGGAGGAGGAGGACGACGAGGAGGAAGAAAAGTAGGAGGAGGAGGAGGAGGACGACGAGGAGGAAGAAAAGTAAGAGGAGGAGGAGGAGGAGGAGGAGGACGACGACGACGACGAGGAGGAAGAAAAGTAGGAGGAGGAGGGACGAAGCACGAAGAAGTCCGAGTTGGCCCCGCGCTGCGCAGCCGTTTCGGGTGTCCCCGCGACAAGCGCCACGGTCCAGGGCCTGGCCAATTGGTGCGAGTACGATTGCACTTCTCGTGCCGAGCGCGAGGTTCCCCCCTGGGAACCGATGGTGGCTGCTGCCACCTCAGAGGCGGCTCCGGCCCAGGATGGCCCAGGCGGCCTCCGGAGCACCCCATCGCGAGGCCCGGAGGGCCCCCGGGGGTCCCAAAGCGCAAGGACAAGCCGGGGCCTCCTCCTCCTCCTCCTCCTCCTCCTCCTCCTCCTCCTGTCTCCTCTCTCCTCTCTCCTCTCTCCTCTCTCCTCTCTCCTCTTTCCTCCTCCTCCTCCTCTCTCCTCTCCTCCTCCTCCTCCTCCTCCTCCTCCTCCTCCCTCTTGTTTGTTCCTCCTTCTCTACGCTGGCTTCCTCCTCTTTCCTCCTCCTCCTCCTCCTCCTCCTCCTCCTCCTCCTCCTCCTCCTCCTCCTCTTTTTTGTTCCTCCTTCTCTACGCTGGCTTCCTCCTCCTCGTCCTCCTCCTCCTCCTCCTCCTCTTCCTTTCCCTCCTCCGTCCTATTCCTCCCCCCCCTCCTTCTTCCTCAAGCTACTTGGGCTCAAGCCGCTCTGGCGTGTGAGTCCGAGCCTCGGCGCCTCCCCGCGGCGCTAGAGGGACAACCACGAGTGGAGGGCAGTCTTTCCGCCCGTCGACTCGAGGTTGGCTAAAACCGAGTTGTTTGTTTCACATACGTTACCTGAGCCTGTCTCGCCCTTGGTAAACATGCAAGGCGTGTGGGCAATCCGAGTACAATGACCTCCTTGTGTCGCGTGGCCAGAAGTGCAAATGTGGCAAGAAGGTCAAGCTATACATTGCCCCATCGATGCCCCCGAAGGGAATCCTTCGTGCATTCTCGTTCGCAAATAGGAAAGATAGCGGTGCACGTGGAGGTGGCAGCAACAGTCGAGCATCATCTCCAGCGCAGCCCCCGCAGGGGTCAGTTGGTCTTCAGAAGTCGCACGACACTATTCAGCCTCATCCCCAGCAAGCGTTTGCAGCAGCCATAGATCCGAACCTCAAAGCCACGTTGGAGTTTCAGATCAAGGCTTTGGCGACGAAGGCCCAGGGCGCCAGCAACGTCGTCTCAGCGATGCAGAATGCGGACGGTGCCTGGAGGGACGTCACCAACAGGCACAACCAAGCCATCACTGCCGTGCTTAGGATCGAGAAAATTTGGGGGCCGCTAAAGAGAAGGAGCTACGTTTGGCTAAGGCGGTAGCACATGAAGCCCAGGCCCGTACATTAGCAGCTGCAGCCGTGAGAGTTGCGGGCGCTACTATTAAGAATCAGGATTCCCCTGCCGCCGAGGAGGGGACCAAGAAGCCGTTCGACATCGCGTGGGACGCAGATCTCTTCGACTACCTCGGCCCCTTGGAGTGCGAGCCGCATGAGTTGGAATCTTCGCGGAATTACCATCTTGAGTTGTTCGCTGCCAAGGAGTCGCTGTCCACCAAGGCCAACGAGGTCGCCAAGTGGGTAGAGAAAGCGAAGAAGACGCGCCAGTTCATCACCGAGCGCACGTCCAAGAAGCGTCGAGCTAATCAGCGGGGCCCATCAGCATCAGCGCCAGCGACGCCAGGGCAGGCCTCTCAGGCCCCTGGCCAGTCGCAGGCAGAGAGCAGGCCCGCTTCGGAGGCCGCAGGGGAGACCGGCGCTGCATCCAGCGCAGAGGCCCCCGCGGCCACCGAAGCGAAGATCGCACAGGAGGCCGCCCACCTTTCGCATGCCCAGTTCGAAGCTCAGCGTCATGCTGAAGAGGCCGTGCCAGCAGAGCCCGAATCTTGGCGAGGCACCTCGGCATTTAAGGTCAAGGCTCGTTCTGAGCCAGCTGAATTCATTCATATCCTGTATGGCAATGTCACCGCCATGGGGGACAAAGTCTGGGATTTGGTTTTAGCTGCAGCCCTGACAGTACCTTCGATGCCACCTCCCTCGCCGAAACGCACGAAGCTCGACCCAATCTTCTACAGCGGCAAAAAGCCCGCGCTTCCAACCTTCGTTTGACTGCGAATCCTGCTCGGCATACTGGCCGTGCTCAGACTAGCCAGGGACAGGAGAGAGCCACCGAGAGTGGCGAGTGGAATTCGTTGCTTGGCCACAAGCAAGCACGCTCATTCGTCTCCCAGCTAGATCGCGCTTCCGATGTTCAGTTTGACGGTCAGCCAGTAGTGGACGGATTCACCGCTGCGCACATTCACACGTCAGGGCGTTCGTACGTCTCAGTAACTTTACTTGCGTTTTCGTCCATAGGCATGTCTAGTTCCAAAATTCAGAGGTTCACCAAGTTAGGATCCTTCAAGCTTCGTTGAAGCTCCTATGGGCTCTTGTGGAGGACTTTAACAGGTCGGCGCCCACTCTTGGAGCTTCTGGTTTTCCCTATAGATTAGGAGGGGGGCCATCTTGGCAGCCACTGAGTACATGTGTGGTGCAGGTTGGCTGGGATCTAGCATCGACTTCGCGGTTCGTAGTGCAGCCGCTGCACCCTACCTCGAGTCGGTCAAGCTGTTTTCGAGATCCCTTGGAAGACTCACTGTGGCTTGCGCATCGAGGTGCGCACGTCGGGTGAGCAACCCACTCATCCTCCCCGAGCTTCCTCAAACCTCACGACCAGCGACGCTACCCACCCCTGGGTCTAAGACCCAGGTGGACAAGGCTGAGCGCCAGGTCAAGATAGCCGCCCTCCGTCAGCGACGCAACGAGCATTAGGACATGCTGTTTGGCGACGCTTGGCACATGGAAGAGGCACGTCGGGCGCAGATGAACTCGACCACTGCACCCCCCGATCTGGACGCCCTTCCCGAAGCCGCATCCGAAGGAGATCCGTGGGCCGACGAGCTGAACGTCCGTGCTGACCGGGACCTGGGGACGCCTGGAGGGCGAGGCGGGCCCGACGCTTCCGCGCCTGGCCCTTCGCACATCCCCAGCGCCCATGGGAGCGATCGAGCTGACTCGCGCACGGCTGATCAAGGGCCCATCATGTGCCGCCATTTTCTGCCACTGCATGTTCCTGCCATCACGTGGGGCATGGTGCCCGACAATCGCATCTCGTCATCTCATCGCCATGCAGGCCCCCCCCCCCTGATGCGCGCGTTGAGCCGCCCCTCACAGGCGCTGATGAGCCGCGCGTCAATTCCCTGATTCCTTCCGACACGCGGGCGAATGGCCGCGTCGAGACGGGGTTCGTTCCCGCCCCCTCTCCTGCCCCTGCCCCCGCTGCCCCCGTAGCTGCGAGGCTCGGGCCCGAGTTTGCGAGCCCCGCTTCTGCACTGCATGCGACGCGGGCATCGGCGCTGGAGAAGACGATATACGATCATCACGAGCACGCTTCTTCCTCGGGCATCCCACGCTCGCAAGGCCACCGTTTTGCCGCGCGAGATGTCAGGGCCCCTAACGAGGCTTGCTCGGGGCCGCACCCACAGATTGCGGCGTCTTGGCGGGAGGAGGCACGCGCGGCATTTGGGCGTCTTTCGGGGAACAGAGCTAAAGGGAATGGAGTTGTTCAACGCGAGCAGCGTCTGGCCTCCTGCAGTCACTGACTCCTCGAGGCCCCTGACGAGGCTCGCACGGGGATCCGTCTCGGGCCGGAACCCCGCTGGGACTCTCGACGCCAGCGATTGCAGAGAGCAGCTTCGCCCCCCCACCCCCGCATTGTGCAGGAGTTTGTCAGAGCAGCCAAGAAGATAGCGGCTCGGGTGAGGATCCGCGCGCTGCACAATTCCTTGGTCGAGTGTAAAAATTGGACGGCGCCCAACAAGGCCCGTGAGCCCCTGCATCGCGCCACGCGACAGGCGCAGCAGCCAGTAGTCGAGATCGAGACATAATCCTTCGCACTTTGCAGTCCCAGGGACATCGTGGACGTCAAAGCTCAACCGCTTATCAAACTGAGGGCTCCGAGCGACATCGACGAGGATTCTGTCATGGCCGCATTTCAAGACATTCGCGCAGCCGCCGAGCTCGAGCCTCTCGAGCCGCTTTCTCCAGCAGACATTCGCACTGCAGCCTATAGCACGAAGACACGCGCTGGGCTCGGCGCGGATGTTCTCACGCCGTTGGATGTCGAGCGACTGCCAGACATTGCACTCCAAGGATTATGCCAGCTGCATTCAGTGGTCGGAGAAACTTTGGTTGGGCCAGTCCAAGTT